CCTCTCCTGACCCCCCCCCACTACTGCTCCCCTCAGCAGTGTACTTCCTCTGTTCTGCTCCCCACTCTGTCTCTGGTGAATCCTCTCACCGCCCCTGCACCACTGGCCTGTACCCCAGTTCTGTATGCATAATTAAATAAATTTTTAAAAAAAGTGTTTCTTTAAAAAAAATTTTTTTAAACATTATGCATTGAAAATGAGGGATTATAGACAAGTATACCTCATACAATTATAGCTGAAGATGGTTTCAAATGTTTCTGTAAATTTCAAGGCAGCACAGTAAGAATTCAGAACACCATGTTAGAATCCGAGAAAATATGTATTAACCTATACATAGTACTCCCCCTTTTAAAAGGATTTAAACACAGATTATACTATTTCCAAAAGCTACTTTAAACATCTCAGTGTTATATATTTAAACTACTTTAAGTTACTTTAAATGCCTACAGAATGAAATTTAATTAAGGCATTTCCAAGTGTCATATATTGAGACAAAATAATGTAGCCAGGTAACTTCAATTAATACCTTGTGTTAAAATAAAGTTTTAAGCAGTGTTGATAATTAAGAGAATATTCAGGCAAGTCCTGATTACTGCTTTTCTACACACTTAAAAAGACAGATAAAGTCAAATTTTCAGTCCTTTAAAATCTAATTTTAATTGTTCTTGGGTCAACTGTTAAAGATTTCACGTTAATTTCTATTATAACTCAGAATGCAATGATCGAGAAAAACAGGTAAGCATGCTTCTTATACTAATTTCCTTTTATGAAAACTAGATGTTTAATAAAGTACCTTTTCCAATTCAGCATTAATCAGACTCAAAGATCACACTTACATTTAATCCTATTGAATATCATTTAGAAGTTTCTGAAAAGCATAGGAAGCAGGTTAGAATCACTTTCACATAAGAATTCTTATTTTCTGGCTGTGTCAGGAATACAACTTGTCTAAAATAAAAATTAAAAGTAAATGCAGCCCAAACTTAGGAATTCTTACATGTCCACACATTTTATATGTGTGAAAAACATTTAATACGACATTTAAGCATTCTATTATTTCCCCATCACTGAGAAAAACATTTAATACGACATTTAAGCATTCTATTATTTCCCCATCACTGAGGTATTTTATTGCCTAACAATTCAAACTTCCATTCAATTCAAAAAAAAAAAATTACAGCATTCACTGGGGTAGCTGATTGCCATACTGCTTCTTTGAACAAAGTTGCTGATCATGGGCCCTCCCTGGTGGCCCAAGGGCTTAAATTGCAGCACTAGGAAGCTATGTGCAGCCATGGAGCTGACCCCACTAAGGCACAGCACAACTCTCCTGTCTTGCTCGCTGCTCCCCTAAGTGTATTTCAGGTGAAATCCACCTGTTGTGCTCCCTACTGTCTATTGTGAATCCTCTCATCCTCCACCCCACATCTCTGGCCTTACCCCAGTTCTTGCATGCATAATTTTTTTTAAGTTTGTTGCTATCAGTGTGACTTATTTCATTTATTTTTACCAAAGAAACCACATATAAGACCAAACTGAAAGGCAAAACCCTGTGCTACCAGTTCACCTTGGCTCTTGTGAGGAGTTAACCACTTTTAAACCATGACTTTAACTTGGATATTGACATCCTAAGAATGAGAATTTAATTAATACTACTCATCCCCTTTCTACTCCCAGTTTTGATGAAAAATTAAAAAGAATATGGCCGCAACTTTACAGCTTAAAGAAACTTAATACCTTGGGTATTAAGTTTCTCTCCATGAAAATGCCTTCCTCTCACCCCAGTGAGAATGGCACATCTTCAAAAAACTAGCAACAACAAATATTGGCGAGGATGTGGAGAAAAAGGAACTCTCCTGCACTGTTGGTGGGAATGCAAACTAGTACAACCACTATGGAAAACTGTTTGGAGGTTCCTCAAACTGCTTAACATGGAGCTTCCCTACAACCCAGCAATCCCACTCCTAGGTATCTACCCAAAAGACACAAAAACACTGATTTAAAAAGATACCTGCACCCCCATGTTTATTGCTGCTTTATTTACAATTGGAAAAACATGGAAGAAGCCCAAATACCCAAAAGTAGATGACTGGATTAAAAAGTTGTGGTACATACACACAATGGAATATTACTCAGCAACCAAAAAAAAGAAACACATGTCTTTTGCAGCAACTTGGATGGAGTGGAAAAGATCATGCTTAGTGAGATAAGCCAGAAAGAGAAAGAAAAATACCGGATGGTTTCACTCATAGCAGGAGTATAATGGACCAGGCGAGAAAATAATAATAATAATGAACAGCCCTATACCAGACATTTGAGGGGATGGAGTGAGGAATGGGATCAAAAACGGGGGGGTAGGGGAATGGAAGTGCACGGGACTATGGTGATGGCACACGGGTGACTTGGTGATGGGAAACCCACGGGGATTACAATTGAGATGAAAAAAAAAATGTACAAAATGATGTAAAAATAAAACTGTTAAATTATTAAAAAAAAAAGGGGGGGGAGGGACCCTCCCTGGTGGCACAGCATGTTAAAGCACAGCTCTAAGAAGCTAAAGTCACTTTAGCATGAGTTCAATCCCTGCCCACCCAGGAGGTGATCCACAAGGCACGCACCACAGGCCACTCCTGACCCGCCCACTGTTCCCTTCAGCAGTGTGCTTCGACAGTTGGCCTGTTCTGCTTCCCACTGTGTCTCTGGTGAATCCTCTCACCATCCCTGCAGGCACTTCTAGCCCGTACCCCAGTTCTGTATGCATAAATAAATAAATCTTAAAAAAAAAAAAAGGAAAACACTACATATTCAGTGGACCCTTAAAGGTCATTCACAAATACTCAAATCACAGATGTTAAAAATCATAAATGTCAAAACCTACAATAATACATATTTTTAGTAATGATTTTTCTTGAGAAAAAATAAGACAAGGAAGTATCAGAAATGGGGAAGCAAGTGATTTCAGTTTAAATAAGTCAAGAACTTATTCACTTTAAGTCAAGAAAAAGCAAAGGTCACCTCGTAAAATATCAGGCTGATACATTTAATTGCCTTTGGGCTATCTATTGCTACTGCCCTAAATCAGATGATTTTATTGTCTTATTTCAATAACTAAACCTCTTTGAACAAGGTCCAAGACAAATGATAGCAAATAACTAGACTGCATTCTTTCTACAATAACATTTTCCAACACAACCTCCCAATAGATAAAGCCACATAACTAGGAATTGAAGGTATTTTCTATTTCTCCTAATCATCTCATTCAAATCATATCACCATGAATTTCCTGAGTATGTGGTTTTAAAATACTGTACTACTATAAACTTTAAATTCTAGCCCCAGATAGGTCTATATTCATTCAGCAAAAGCATCTTGAAATGTAGAATTATCATCTTCAATTTCCTCCAGTCATTTATTGTAGCTGCCAAGCTGAAATGGTGCACCTTCAAGGCAACACTAAACTGACAGCAAATAATAAAAGAGTCTCTTAAATGTTTCATTTATAAAAGCTTATTTTTTTCCCGCCATCAAATTCTGTATACTGAAATATATCACTTTACAAAACTGACGTCTTGCATGCAGTTATTCTGCCATGACACATTTGCTAAACTTCAAGGTTTGTTGTAGGGGAGAGGGGAACAGCTTTCTTTATCCTTCTGCAAACAGATAAGCAATACAGAGCTAGGCTATCTTTGGTTTGGGGGCTTTTACTGGGATAGAGTTAGGTGGGCACAGAATTAAATTAAACCTTGATTGCCAACAGACATCACCAGAGCTATCCCCTTTTCTGGGTAGCTTTACTAATCTTCTGGGCTATATTAAAAATTATGCCAAGAAATAAACTTTCAAAAGGCACATCAAGCCATAGAACAGCTCCAAAGAGTAGTCTCTTGACAGAAAAACAAAACTGCAAATCAAAAACATTCAAAGTATTTTTTTGAAATTTTGTTCACACACAATAGCAAATTAATTATGGAGAGCAAATCTACAGAATTCTACAGTAAAGTTCTATATATTTTTCCCCTTAATATAATTGTTAATGACAACTACATCAAATATGTGAAATAACAAAAATGTGCTTTGTCTCCACAACTGAAGTATTTAGACCAGTATATAGGGAAAAAGAAATGTTTTTTAAATAGTAAAGTACATCCAAATCACATTCATTAAGTAAATTGCTATAGAGGTCATCTGGTAGAAAAGCCACTGAATTTATTTGAGCAAATTTATTAAATAATGCAGTGAAGGAAGATAATCAGGTGGCAACACTTCTTTTTCTTTCCCTTTATATACCTATTTTAGACATTACATAAGGGTTCAGTCACAAGCCAAATTCGTCTCAGTTAACATCACTTGGTTAAAAGCAAGCTCTACCATAAACTGATTGAATTCTTAACGCAACACTTTTTCCAATGAACTACTTAAAAAGTATCTACAATCAATACATTGTCTCTTTTTAAGTATTTCCTATATTTCTTGTCAATTTTAAAAACCTTATTTGGAAATAATACCAACCCTTTTCTAAAAGCTAAGTAGAACAATCTTTTAATCTGCCGGGTATCTTAAAAACCAATCAACTTGACATAACCTCCTAATTCCTGGAATGTAAACCATAATTCAAGCTTCAATTTTCTTCTTAACATATTCTACTTTACTAAAATGAATTCTCATCCTGCAACTATGAACAAGGAGAAAATTGTACTTAAAATATTATTAAAAGACAAAAATCTCATTATTTAGTATTAGATTAATAGTCTATAATTCTAATCTTAAAAGTATCTATAACTATAACCTCTCCAACTTGTTAATTCCCAAAAAGATTAATAAAAGATGTAATTAACTTCTAAACTTAGAGCAGACTGTCATTCGGAATAGACTACGTTACCAATAACTATACCAGTCAAACAGATCAACCCAACATCCTTTATGGTTCTAAGGTTAATGAACACAATTTATCATAAATTTTCCAGTAACTCTGAAAAAAAATGAATGAAAAAAATGGGTACTTTTTGCATAACACTTTTATTTTATTTTCTTAGAATAAAGGCTGGAGTTATCTTATTTGGAACCTAGCACAATATTTGGCAATGCAGATCTCATTAAAATTTTTTGAATAAACAATAAGCAACCCAATGAACTGCTAGTCTTCCACTCCTTACTATGTCCTAATATGTATTTCAATTATACATAATAAAATGGAATGCACGCAAACTTTTTATTTTACCAGTAAAGACTGAAAGAATTATTCACCTAAGAATTTCCAGTTTAACAGAATGCTGAGTTGAAATAAATAACACAAGGCTACACATACATAAACTTGATTTAATAACATTTACTTCTCTCTGGAAGATGTCACTTTTTTAAAAAACTAGAAATTGGAGAGGATGAAGGTGAAAAAAGGAGTAAAAACAACTATAAATGTTCTTTCACTTCAAAAATTGTCTGACATCTGAGCCAAGACTGCATCTATCAGTGACTTCCTCTTCATGCATCATAGAAAGAGTTCAACATATTTTACAAAATCCATTACATTTTAAGACCATTTCCAATATCTGCTACCATAAATCAAAGACTCCATTTATTCAAGGTTACTTATGGAGAATTAATCATGCAGAAAATTTTAACAACTTCTTTTTCAAAAATTATCGTCTTTGGCATTCCTACACATAATAGTGTGGATTCAAAGACAGCACTGAGAACATACAATTAAATTCGTGAACTTAAGACATTTAAAACAGTCTTTAAATATGTCAGATTCTCTGCAACAAACATTCCAGAAAAATAAGTCAGAATATAAACATAACACAATCTCCTTTGAATTACGGCATAAGTGGCATTACATAAGAAAGTTGTTCCAAAACACTTGTATGTACTTGAGATTGCCTCAAAAATTCATAAATTTTCCTATCTCTAATGATTTCTAAAAACTATCTTCCTCTTTTTCAAGACAAATTTACTCAAAGGAGGAAAGTAAATAGGTAAGCTACACATTTACAGCCTTTATTGATAAGGGTGCAGCCATTACACCAAAATTCAGCCATCAATATACAATCTCATTTCCCATCTTAATGAGAAAATATATTACTTTAAATGGAATACAGAGGCAAAGTGCCAAGAATTAAATAACCTTAAAAGTTTTAATTTCACAGTTCAAATATCAAAAAAGCAGTAAATTCCCAAAACATGAAAACATGATGAACTAAATAGAAAAAGACATTTAAGTCCATTTAAGTCATTTCATTCTTATTATATAGTGAAAACATGTACTTATAACTTCAGTATTTAGCAAACTTCATTAAGTTTAAAATATTCATTTAAGCTAGACAAATGTTTAACAAAGAACATTTAACTTAAATTCCATAGTTGCCTATAAAATGGTACTTATGAAGATTGACCTGCATGAGGAAATGTCTCATCAAGATCGATGGTAAAATACAAATATAAAACACACCACAATGCTTAAAATCTTCATAGTGTTTTATATGAAAATCAGTAAAAATAACTTAGATCTTTCTAGGGAAAAATTATCAAAGTTTAAAATGTAAATTTACATATGAATTCAATTAGAAATATATTTAAACCTGCCACATAATCATCGATTTTGTGGAAAACAGTAACAACACAAAAATGACGCACTTTTTGAATATGTGTACATCAAAACCAAAAGGTTAATTTTTGCTTTTCCCTTTATTGGCAACTTTTGATGCATTTTTAGGTTTTGGCTCCCAGAGGGCATTTTTTACAAATCTTGAAGCTGCACCTTTATCCAGTTTGCCAGCTTTTTTCTTGTCTGTTATCTCCTTGACTCTGTTCATGTATACTCTGATTCTTTCCTTAAAAATAAAAAAAAAAGCAATAGATTTACTAAGCTGTTCACTACCACTAAGTTTTATTATACTGCACCTCAGTGAAATTCAATAGCTATGTATTTATTGCCTATTGAGTGATGCTAGCAAATACAACTGAAAAGGATACACAACACATACCCCACAGTCTCCTGTAGTTCAGCCTTGACAAAGTCATTTCAGAAGTGTTTTCAGTGTTTTAAAACAGTAAGAACTAGACTAAGACATCACTATAGAGATAAACATTAAATTGTTTATATGTGCTTTTTTATTTTAGCATTAACCTAAATACATATATTAACTCCTATGCATCTGAAGTTTATATTCTAAAACAAAGTTTTCATATACTTGCAACCTACAGGAAACAGATGAAGCAGTACTTAATTTTTAATATTACCACCTAGCATCACAATTCAAATAAACAGTAAATATACAAAATCTTTTATTCCATTTCATAGTTTTGACTGACAAGCAAACTCATTTTTTTAGTGAAATATACAGTCCTAAACAGACTGCAAGGTAAGAATGTAATAGGCTGCCATACCACTTTGAATTTTCTGAGACCATTAATCAGAATAAAGTATAGTCTATTCTATACTTCAGTTGGGGAAATAAAGGTGATGAGAACCATAAAATAGCAAATAAATGATCACTGATTAAAATCAAGTTTCATTAATCAAAATAGCTGTATAAACATAAACAAAACATAAACAGAAAAATACAGAAACTCACAATATCTTAACTGTAAAACTCTGCTCAAAACCCTCCCTCTATTTTCTCCCAGAGTGAAACTGAAGTACACACACTCACTCACCCCAACCCTGCCTGGAATGATCTTTCCTCAACCATCCACACAATCACTACCTCTCTTTTTTCCAGTGTGGTCAAATGTTAATCTTATTATAGGCACAGTCTTTACCATTTAAAATAACAATCCTACCTAGTGCTCTAAACTCCCTTACCCTGATCTATATATTTTTCCCTATAACATTTAACTTCCTAACATACTATATGTTCACATATGTTTATTCTTGTTTGCTTTGTTATATTTACTATTTGTCTTCCTCCACAAAGTAGTCTGATAACTATCACAAGGTTAGGGATATTTATCAGCTTTAATCACTGAGAAATCATCTTGGAATGACTTGGAAATGATGTCTGGTCCTCAATAGACACTCAAATATTTGTTGAATGAATAAACTGATTTCAATTTATTGAAATAATTTCAATGCCTATGTCTAGCAAATAGGTTTCCTATCACACATTAATGCTATGCTCAATTAGTCTGTCACAGAGACAAAAAAGAGGAATAGATTTTTGTGTGCTTTTATTTGCCAACCCTTGTTCAGAATATGAATGTGAACTGGGTTTTGAGAAAGATGACATGATTTTACCCTTTTCCAATCAAGAAATCAAGTATTAATACTTCAAATAACTTTGTTTTAAAGGGAAAGAAGAATTTTATAGCTATAAAGTCTGTTTTAAAAAGTTAAAAACAGATGACACAATGCACACTTAACATTTAAAGTCAGTATCTCTGCTTAAATCAGATTTGTGTATCATATAGCTGTCTTTTTGCTTTAAGTATCTTTCACAATTTCTGTATTTAAAATAAATTCATTTCCCCCCAGGAACTTTGAAAGAGAAGGATGTCTTAGTATGTTAAAAAAAAATGAAGACAACAGGTATGGTTTACTCTTTTTTTTAAAAAAAAATGCCCAATGTATGTAAATAATATACATATCAACTATCATAAGGCTTGAGAATAACAGTGTCAAGTGCATTACACATATGTATTTATCTAATATTTTATAAACACAATGAATAAATTTATTAATATTCTTATTCATAAAGGCAAGTCAAGAAGGTAACCATACGTATGATTTCTAATTTTTCTCTTTCAAATTGAATGATTTAATTTTTGAAGTCAGCAAAAACTCCAAGATACCAGACCTTATATACTGTACTTATACATCTAAATGGAATACAAAGACAAACCTAAAAGATTTATTACAGGTTGTAAATATGTCACTAATGCAGAATTACTGGACAGTACACATACAACTGGTGCCAAAAAAGCTTTTAGCTTTGTTGCTGAACGGGATTCTTTACTGCTGAGAAAATGAATTAATGGAGGAATTGAAAAGGTGGGGGAGAAACTTTCCCGTCTTTGCTAGTAAATCAACCAGAATATACTTTTAAGAATTGTATAAGAGTTTAAAATAAGGGAAAAAAAAATGGTAGTGGGGGGTGGAGATTGTAGAGATGAACAGGATTTCAAGAATTTATCGGAAAAATTAAAGGAAGTATAAATAATTGCTAGAATCATAGCATTTTCCCACTCAAAGTTTTATATAATAAATAGAACACCAATTCTCTAACAAAGGTAAGAGAAAAAAAAACTAAAGACATGAAGAAATTTAGCTCACTTTCAGAACTTCAGCTGTGAATAATTTTGTTCTCTACAATTAGTATGATAAAAGTACTTAAACTTTAGTAGGTAATTTAAACTTTAGAAAAATACAACAAACAAGCATGCAACATAAAAAATTCATTGAAATCTTACCAATTCCTGCTTCACTGGATGTTCCTTAGGATTAACTCCCTGAGTAGCCAAATAAACTATAAGAGAAAGATTGCATAGAGTAAAATGGTATATATAGTAATGAGGAGAATTAATTTTAAAAACTCTAGTTACCACAAAGAAACGTAACACAAATGATTAAATAATTTCTCATTATTTAATTTCTCTATATATTAAGTTTATTTGTGGTTCACAGGAACCTTATTTAAAAGAATTAGGTAACTATTAAAAATTACCACAAAAAATAATTTCATATAAACTGCTAGCATTTAAAAAATAAATCATTTGACACTAGAAATAATTTGTTTTCTAATTAATTCCAAAGTCACATACATACCCCAAAACATTGAATTTAATGTGTAAGCAGAAACTAAATCCACTTTCGCTTGTTCAAGTGGGTCCAACTATTAAGGAGAAAGAGAAAAGGAAATACACACAAACTTTGAGTACCACCAATAATATTTTAAACTCTGACCAAACATAATGTATCAAAGAAATGGTTTCCCCCATCCCTACTTCCTATAATCCAATAACCAATGATCTGGATATAGTTTGCAAAAATAAGTTTTGTTTACCAGTGAGTGATTTCTGCCCACAAATTTTCACTTCAGGGTACCATCTTTAGTTAGACAAGGAATGTATACAATCTAGGAAAAATTCTTTTGAATTATTTTAATTTCAGGAGTCATAATCTGGGCTTTGTATGTCAAAAGTAATTTACCAATATAAACAGTGTACATGATGCATTTATGTATAAGAAGCAGGCTAAAATGCTTAGGCAATACCAAAGACAGAAGAAACATAATGAGATTTGTTTTAGACTGTCAAAGTCAATTTAGTGTTTTTGTCTTACAGGACTTCCAGAAACTCTGATAACATCACTGTAATACTTAAAAGCTCAAAGATAGAGTATGTCAAAAAAAATGCTGTGAGTGCTTCTTTGTTCCAAAACCAAGTCAAAATGAAAATATTGTTAGGAAATGCTTTCCAATGTTGCGGAGTTTTGTTTTGCTCCCCTAAAACTACCCAATCACTTATAAAATTGAAAGGGAGAAAAGCACAGAGTATTAGTCTATTTCTTCTCTTTTATGTTTCATAACAGCACTCTGATATGTGAATTATTTTTTAAAACTCCATTTTTAAAATACCTTTTGCAGTAACTCATTTCTAGAAACAGACATCATGGTCTTCAGCATGTCATCCACGCCACCAATGGAATTCTCAAATGTTGATAAATATTCATGAATTTCTACTGGATAGTCTTCATTAATTTCTTCACCTGACATTATGGCCAACTGAAAAAGAAATAAAATCTTAGAATTCATTTTACAAAGAGATTGCTACTTAGTTTACAAAAAAAATCAATAGGTCATATCATGAACTTCAAAAATGCCATGAGAGTTAAAATCTGAACATAATTAAACAAATCTTTTGAGACTATAGGACAACTATCCAACTACCCAAGTCTACTAATGTTATACAAATCAAACCCTCAATCCTTTTCTAAAGCTGTGACCACCAAACATGAGATAACAATAATTCAAATCCTACATTTAGAAAATTTGTTTATATTAAAGAGCAACCAACACAATACTTGCTGAAAACCAACTTATACTTGCTGAAAAAAAATGACAAGCAAAGGAATTACAATTTTAAAATACCTTCAGCAACAACTCATTTCTAGAAACTGACATCGTGGTCTTTAACATATCTTCCACACCAACAATGGAATCCTTTTTTTTGAACCTTCCAAATTTATATGTTGATCCAGCAGCACAGTATATTAAATTTAAAAAATTAGAAATTCTAGGTCTGAAATAAGATTACTTCTCACTAAAATCTTTTTCAAATCTAAATATATTCTTTAAGCTTCTTTAAAATATTAATAAGAAATTCAAAGAATTCATAAATCACATAAAGTCTATAAGCAGAAAAGAGGAATTCCTACTTGGGAGAAATAAACTATGGTTTTCATTTAGAATACAGTATATCCTGACAGCCCATTTTTTTTTAAATTCACATTTATATCTTAATATTAATATCTACATAAGAAAAAGCAAAATCTATGTGAATGTACTTAATATGGCAACTAAGACCGAATTCAGAAACAATTCCAGGTCATGTACCATCTTTATTTAGATTTAATTTTTTCTTATCAGCTAAAAAACAATTCTTCCATTACATAGCTAAAGAGAACAGCAAGAAAGTATAACATAGCAAATAGAAATAAATTATAAAGAGGTGTGGGCTCTCCATCGGGCTTGATCTCTGACTTTGTCACCTTAGGTAATCTATCACTGAGTCTCTCTGGACCCAAAAAACCCTCATTCATTAAAGAAGGCAGTAGACCTAATGATTTGTAAATTCCCTTCTAGTCCGAATGGTTATAATTGTGTCTTTTAAGGCTTAGTAGTACTACTTGAATAGTCATAATATATCAACATTTCTATTCAACAAGTCTACTGCAAGGAGACATGTAATTTCATTTAAAAAAAAGTGTTATAATTGTATCTTTTAAGGCTTAGTAGTACTACTTGAATAGTCATAATATATCAACATTTCTATTCAACAAGTCTACTGCAAGGAGACATGTGATTTCATTTAAAAAAAAAAAAGTGAAGCCCATCTATCACTACTTACACTATGACATTATTGCCCAACTATGGAGTGGCCAGTAATTATAAAAAGGACTACAAAAAAAGAAAATCAAACAGGAAAGAACTGCTACTTGCTAGTCATAAGGCTAGCTGAAAATATATATATTTGCCTCTCATCCCTCCCAAAATTGTTCCAAATAACAGAAACATAGGAATATGTTCATAGCAATGGGGAAACCCAGAGAGGAGCAGATCCCCAGCAGACCTCAAAAGCAAAAATTGTTGTAAGCTAAAGAATAAATGGGTCAGATTGATAGGAAACAGCCAAGGCGCCTGCAATCCTTTATAAACAAAACATAAGAATCATCTAGGAATAACACCCAGTTAGTAAGAGTTGAGCCATTAAGGTTGGAAACAACTAAACCCACATCTGTGAAAGACAATAGCAGCATCTGCTGCCTAGATAAAGTGTAAGTACAAGGGATATAATGCAAATACAGAAAACTTAAGTTTTTCTTTTCTTGAGGCAGAATTTTAAACCTATAAATGTGAAAATCTGGATGGAAGAATGAAATTCTATTAAGAAAAAAAAATCACCAAAATTAACCTAAAAAAAAGTCCATCAACCAAACAGACCATTACTCACAGAAATACAATAGTTAAAAATCCACTCTTCAAAATGTCTTCAAGCACAGAATATTTTATCGGTGATTTCTTTCAAATTTTCAAGTAAAGTTAACTCCTATGGTATTTAACCATTTAAGAACAAAGTGATGGAAAATCTACTTATTTCATAAATTAGATAAAAATAATCTCCAGATGAATTTTAAAAATACATCAATGTTAAAAGATTACATAAAGTATTTACACAATCCAAATGTAACCCAAAAATTATAAAAGAAAGTAACTGACAGACTACTAAATAAAAATTTAAAATCATCTATATGGAAGTACACCAAAAGCAAAGTTAAAAGGAAAAAAAAAGAAATTATTTGCTAAATAAAACAAAGAATGATAGAGAATGCCTACAAAACTGTATAACAAATTAAAATAATGAAGCCCTCAGCTATCAAATTGGTAATAACTCTGAATATCAGTGAAGGCTAGTATCAGCAAGCATACATTACAGGTGAAATCGGTAAACTGGCAGAGTTTTTAAATACATGTACACTTCGACTCAGCAACTCCCTTTCAGAATCTAGCCTGCAAAAATCCTTGTAAAAAGTCATCACTTAACAACAAGGACATATTCTTTTTTTATTCCATTATTTTATTCACACTTCCTCAGATGTATAACACACATCTGTTCTAATATAAATCAGTTTGTTCACCACCAAAGGACCTATAATCCTCCATCATAGTCTATTTGCATTATAATCGATAGCATGAGTTCTACAGTCAGGTTTCTAGGGTTTATTTTGGTTTAGTTTTTCTGTTGCTTTGCTTTGTTTTTCTATATTCCACATGAGTTAAAGTTATCCAGTATTTGCTTTCTCCTCCTGATTTATTTTTCTTGGCATAACTATCTCCAGTTCCATCTATGTTGTCACAAATGGGAAGATTTCATCTTTTTTAATAGCTAAATGTTCCACTGTGTATCTTCTTCTTCTTAATCCACTCATCTGTTTCCATATCTTGGCTATCGTCAGTAGCGCTGCAATGAACATAGGTGAGCATATAGCCTTCATATTTGTGTTTTTGCATCATTCAGATGGATACTAGGAGTGGGACTGCTGGATGGTAAGGGAGATCTACTTTTTTTTAATTTTGAGAACCCTCCACATTCTTCCACAGGGGCTGCCCCAGTCCACTTATATATTCACACCAATAGTGTATGAAGGTATCTTTTTCCTCCAAATACTTGCTAACACTTTGTTTCTGGTCTTTTTGATATGGGCCATTCTCATAGGCGTCTGGTATTGGTAATTAGTTTACTGTGGTTTTGATTTGCAGTCATAGGTGGTCATTTGATGTGCATTTTGTCATGTGTATGTCTTATCTGGATAAGTGTCTAGTTAGCTTTCTGCAGTTTTTAAAAGGGCTGTTTTCTCTTTGTTGAGTTTTAGCAATGGGGATATCCATTCTAAGAAAAGCACATGTTAAGTGATTCTGTCATTATAAGCATGCGACACAGCCCTGGATGGTACAGATTAACACCAGTAGGTAATATGGCAGAACCTAATAGAACTACCTTCTTGCATACTGCCCCTCAGTGACCAAAACACTAAGCAACACATGACTCCATGCATATAAATTTATGTTTGCATGCTTCATACTTGTCTCTGAATTTCCCCCACTTTCTCTTGGATCAATTTTTCCCTCTGTTGATTCATTACCTTGAGCTTAAAATATTTTATTTCTCCATCTAAGACCAGAATAAAATGAAATATTTTGACATCATATCTCCATTTAGCTCAAGTCCTATTTCCTACCTCCATTTTAGAACAAACACCCCAAAAGATGTGTTCACATTAACAAACACTCCCAATTCATCCCTTTCATTCTTTCTTGAATCTACTACAATCAGGTTCCCTCCTTCTCACTCAAAATTGCTCTTTCCCAGGTTACCCATACAACCACACTGACAAATCCAAAAATTTTCAGTTCTCACCATTTGGCATTGTTGACTCCCCTTGTCTTCAGGACATCACATTTATTTGGTTCCCCTCCTACCTGACTGGACGATTCTAGGTGCCTTTTGGTGCACTCATCTCACCTGCCCCATCTCTCACCTATGAAGTGCCCCAGGGCTATTCTTGATTTGCTTTTCTTCTCTAATTTCTCCCCAGGTGAACTAGGAGTTTAAACTACATTAACAAACTGATGACTTGAGGTTTCTAACTCCAGCCCTAACCTCCCCAATGATCTCCAAATTTCTATTTCCAACTGCTTCCTTAATACCTCTGGTAGGATGTTAATATTAAATCTCAAAATAGAGCCCAAAGCCAAATTCCTAATCTTACCTAAGAAGTCTTCCCTGTCTCATTTCCAACATTCATATCTAAAACTGCTGAGTGGTTCTTAACTCCTCTCTCACCCTATCTTTAAAACATACTTAGTTTCTAACCATACCCTCCCACCTCTTCTGCCAACATCCTGGTCCAAGTCAGTCCAAGTCATTATGTTCTGCCCAGACTCTAATAACCTCCTCAGTGGCCTTGCTTCCAGTCCACTACTTTATTAAGAAAACAGAATGACCATTCCAAATCTTAGATTATGCCACATACCTGCTCAAAAACTCAAAAACTCCCAAATTGGTCATCTGACTCAAGAGTAAAAGACAATTGCTTAAAAGCCCAACAACGGGTACTTGGTTGACCATCTCTCCTCCCATTTTATCCCTTGTTCATTTCACCCCAGCCACACAGGACTGAGCTCTTCCTCCATCACCTCACAGCTTTTGTACCTCTCCCCTCCTCAAAAAGTTCTGTTCCTCTCCTCCCATACCAATAATTGCTGAGTTCTTTACTTCAACTTCCCCAAATTTCTTCTCAAATGTTACCAACTAGTAAATCTTTCCTGACCACCCAATTTTAAAACACTCATGCCCCCTCACTTCCAGTACTCCTACCTTCTCTTACAGTCCTCAATAGCACATGACAATATTTTATTCATTGATTGTCCACCTCCAAAAGAAGGTAATTACATGAGAGCAGAAATTATAGGTTTTTGTTCACTAGCACTACCTGGCAATCAATAAGCATTTGTTGAATGAGTAGTCTGTAACAAATTACTGGAAAAAATGAAATTATTCATCAAAGATAAATGAAATAGCATATCCATCCAAGAGCAAATTAAAAATAATTCTTTATAATAACACACAATGAAGAGTGGTGAAGAAAAAAGCTACAGAATATGGGCCCTCCCTGGGTTGCAGCGGGTTAAAGCACAGCCTAAGAAGAGAAAGCTACTTCAACATGAATTCCATCCCCGCTCTGGAGGTGACCCAATGGCACAGCAGACCTCTCCTGACCCTGCCCACTGCTCCCCTCAGCAGTGTACTTCAGTAGTCAGCCTGTTCTGCTCCCCACTTTGTCTCTGGTGAATTCTCTCACCATTCCTGCATCTCTGGCCTGTACCCCAGTTCTGTATGTATAAGTAAATCTTTAAAAAACAAAACAAAAAGCCACAGAATATGGTATATAACATTTAACATATCTAACACGTGTCATTTATTTTAAAATATCTATAAAGACAAATAGGTAGAAAAAGATATGGGAAGAAACATCCAAAAAGTAGAAATTTCTCTGAGAAGAGTCAGGGAATAGAGAACAGAATAAAGAAAACAGATTTATTGTTCTAACTCTTCACTGTTTATACTTTGTTCTTAAAAAAAAAAGTTTTAGACTATGGTGATGGCACATGGGTGAAATGGTAGTGGGAAGTCCACAGGGATTACAACTGAGATGGAGAAAGGCACAAAATGATGTGAAAATAAATTGCAATAAAATAAATAAATTTTAGTAAAAAACAATCATTAGATCCTCCCTGGTGATGCAGGGGTTAAAGTCTCAGAGCTATCAAGATATCATCTACCATTTCATCTGCCATTTCAGCAGACCTCTTCTGTCTTGCTAGCTGCTCCCTTCAGCAGTATATTTCAGATCTGCCTGTTCTGTTCCCCACTGTCTCTGGTGAATCCTCTCACTCCCACACCTCTATCGTACACCCCAGTTCTTATATGCATAAATAAAAATAAATCTTTTCTAAAATCATTACATTTAAAAAAAGGTACACTATTAAAGTAAAAAAAAATAGCACAAAAGACTTACTTTAATGATGACAATTTTATCCATCCAATTTTTCTATTAGAAAATACTTTCCCTCTCCAGTATCATGATGGGTTCTTTCCTGCAATTATTCTTGTCCCATCCCTACACCCCAATAAACAAGTACTTATTTATTGTTATAATGGGTTAGGGTGAACACTAAAAGCAAGTAAGAATAATTACCCGCATTAAATCTGAACTAAACCACTTCCCTTTTTCCTAACTAAAAAATCAAGGCAAAGCAGACTAAAAATTGTAAGCAGTGTTCAATACTAAAAATGCCGCCATTCATATTACTTCTAAATTTTTCATAGGCAGTTCCTTCCACAGGAAAAGCAGCAAGAGGAAGTTACAAACCTTCTATCCCCTTTGCTACCTGAATCCCAGGATCAAACAGTGAATGCCTGGTACTAGCAGCAATAGTAAATACTGAACCCCACAGACCATAAGCCAGGCCCTATTCAGAGAATTCCAATAAAAAGACATTTTTGAAGGAAAGAAATCTGAACATGAATTGTGTATTAATGACACTAAGAAATTACTGATAATTTTGTCAGCTTTAAAAAATGACATATTTAAATAAGTGGTCCTATCATTTAAGGGCAGATACTAAAGTACACAGAGAAAAATTCTGTATTTCTTGAATTTGAATATTAAAAAAGCTATCCTGTATGGATAAACTACACCTTGAGAACAAAGATAAGCACATATATACATGATTTCTATAAGTGAAATTAGAAGCTATATCACAAACTAATATTTAGAATACAATTCATTCATAAATTGGAAGATAGCTAAATAGAAAACAATCTAGAATACTTAACACTCAAATAAATCTCCTTTCAATTACAAATATAACTAGGGAAGAGGTACTGGGTGTCCACCAAATCTGGGATAGTTGCTGAACAAAGCTTATAAAAATAAGACAGCGCTATGTCCTTAAATGAGGTTTGCATTACCAACAAAGGCTGACATTCCAGTGTTTAATTATTTCAGAATGTCACTTTATTTCTTAAAAACAATCCATATGCTTTATTTCTCTAGAAAAATATATGCATATGAAAACAAATGAAGCAACAAGCCAAGTCTAAAGTCAAATAAAAAACTGGGAGAGAGATTTACAACATAAGACAGATAAAAAGAGGCTTCACAAACCAACTTTAAGAATAAAAAATACCTACCAACCAAAAGAAAAATAAACAAAGAAAATCTGAAATACACAAAGGAATCCATATAACCAATAAGCACAAAGAAAACTACTCAATCTTATTAATAATTAAAGAAACATAAATCACCAAAACAAGATGCTATTTTCATCTGCCAAACAACCAAAAATTATAGATTGATAGTACTTAATAGAGGCAAAGATGAGCAAAACAGCCCCTCATTCACGAATAGAAGTATAAACTAAGCACTTTTAAAGCAATTTTTCAAATTTGTGTATGTAAAAATTTTCTGACCCCACAACTTTTGTTCTCAAAATGCTTATTTTCACACAAGATAATGTTGAAGAACATCCACTGAAACACTTCTAAAACACTGAACCTCTGGGGCTTCCCTGGTGGAACAGGAGGTTAAAGTCTCAGAACTAGGAAGCTATCACCAGCCACTGCTGCATGAGTGGGCCAGACAGCAGAACTCTCCTGTCCCACCCCCTGCTTCCCTCAGCAGTATGTTTCAGTGGCACTTCCTGTTCTGCTCCCCACTCTTGTCTCTGGTGAATCCTCTCATGCCACGCCCCCTCCCACCTCTGGCCTATACCCCAATTCTTGAATACATAAATAAATAAAAATAAATCTTTAAAAATGAATTCTGAACAATGATGGGAACAATGATGCTCATTCAAAAATTACTCTCCAACAGTAAAAAGTATGAAATAAAGTTTAGACATAATTGAACAAAAATAAAAACCATATAAAATACAGCACACTTGTATATATTGTTAAATACAAATATGTGAGTAGGGAGGGTATAACTGTGCATGCATGTAGTTTTCTTAATACAAAAGAAGTTAAATATGATTACTTCTAGAAAAGGAAAAATGAGGTTAGGAAGCACATTTTATGTTCTCAGAATGATGATTTTTTTAAACAAGAATATATAACATGATAATAATATGTAATGAAATTTTAATTATCTGAATTTTTTTAATTCCCAATGATAAAGGTAAGTTGTATATTAGGACCCACTAAATGAGGGCATCTCCAGTGGCCTGCAAAAGATTGTCAAAGAAACCTAACATACACCAATCAAAATCCTCCAACTTCGCTTTAGCTACCCTACCTTACCCTACAAAATAAAACCTGCTACTCTAAACTCGGAAATCCCTGACCTCCCAGCTAATGATGACTTGTTTCAGTAATACCACTTCCATCCTCTGTAGTAAGCTCTTGTCCAGTCATCCCTCAGGAAGATACAAGATTACTTAAATGTCTTATTTTTGTCATTTGACAACAAATATTCCATAAACGACAGGGCATGCCCCATGTTTTTGTCTAGAAATAATCAAATAATAACACAAACATAAAATTACAGTAATGATGTGGAGAAATTTATGGTGTTAACGAGACTGTATGACTAATGTTATATGACAGTCTGAGAGGGAAAAGGGAATGATAAAATGTCATTTGCCCCTACTGACCAGCTATAATCAAACTTACATTGTTTAGCTCTATTATAATCAAAGCATTCTATGAATATATTCCTTCCCCTATATCTAAATTTTTTTTAAAGATTTATGTATTTGTGCATACAGAACTGGGTACAGGCCAGCAGAGGCTCAGGGGCGGTGAGAGGCTTCACCAGAGACTGAGTGGGGAACAGAACAGGCAGATCGACGAAGTACACTGCTGAGGGGAGCAGCAGGCGGATCAGGAGAGGTCTGCCG